GGAAAACTATTTCACCCCATCCTTTTGTGGGTTTTGCTGCTCCAGGAATTGTTTTATGGCATTATTTAAAGGTGTTTGGAGGGGTTTAGGGGAGAGCTCAGGCAAGTGGTTACCTTTTTCTCTGACATCTTGGCTCAGTGCCTCATCCCCCCCCCCAACCTGTGCTTCTTCTATTTAATTCTAGGCTCAGTTCATCATCTATCTACAGCACCTGTCCAAGATAAAAGTACTAATAAGCCAGCTCTACAGGCTGTCCATCCAGCTGTGGAGCCTAGTCACAGCAATAGATTTTTTACACATTTTATTTTTCCCATGTGGATTGTTAGGCTGAACTCTTCTCAGTGGTTGTGAACCACGCTAGGAGATTGTACAACGTTCCAAGGCTTTATGTAATCAGCACAGTGTCTTCTGCAAACAGGAGCAACTGGAGGACCTCACCATGTGTAAGGAATCCATCTGCCATCTGTACTTTGTGCTTGACCATGGCAAACATCCTTGAAGGGTATATCTCCTTGTTTTATGCCTTATTTGATATTTGTAATTAGATTATCACTAAACAAAGTTATTTTTATTGTTGCATTCTGAAGCATTTTATATTAGCATGAATGTCATTGTGGGAGAAGAGCTTTTAAAGGTGGGTTTTGCTTTGACAAACTAAAGGGTCACCCAAAAGGCTGTGGGAAGATGAATGGTAGCTGAAAATAAACTAACACATGTTACCAATGACGAATGACACACAAAAAGCAATGTCAAAAATACTGCCAAAGAGATACACAATTGGAAGAGGAAGTGGGCCAGTCACTGAGTGAGAGTGGAGGATAGCAGATGGACAGCTACCATACTGAACTGATACCCATGTGATGACAAGAAACCTTAAAGAATCCTCCCCTCTCAAATTTTGGGTAGACTCTCTGTAGAGGTCATCAACAAGAGTTGCTCAGAATTAGAAGTCTAGAGGTCACTGTCCAGAGGAGTACTGTCTAATAGATCCCTTGATATCTTCAGATATTAGTATGTAAACATGGGAAACAAATATAAAAATAATATTCATATCATTATTTGGGAATCAAAATATGAGAGTTGGAAAAGACTTTGGAGTTCATCTAGCCCAGACATTCTTATCCTTTTTTGGGTCATGGATGCCTTTGGATTCAGAAAAGCCTGTGGATCCCTGGTCAGAATGATATTTTAAATAATTTAAGGAAATGGTAACTTTTAGTGAGAGGTTGGTGAAAATAAAAATATAGGTTGTTTTTTTTTCTATCTAAGTTAATGGATTCTCTGAAATCTATCCATCCATGGACCCCAGGTAGAGAACCCCTAGAATCTAGTTCAGTCCTTTTATTATACAGATGAGGAAACTCCAGAAAAATGAGTGATTTACTCAAGGTCATGCAGTAAGTGGCAGAGCTATGATCCAAATCAAGCATCCCCACACTCTCTCCATTGCACCAAGCCAATGCCACTAATAAATAAATATGCTTGCATATATATGTATATGTATATGCACGTGTCTATTTTTAAAATGTTTATATATTTAGAAAAAGCATTTATTCATGGAGGGTTATGCTCCCCAGGGTGTCTCTCCCTTCCTCCTAGATTGTAGGAGTGACAGCAGTAAATAGAAGAGTATACCTTGAAAACCTGCATTATTGCTCACAACAATAAATACCATCCTACCTTACTGAGTCATGATAGTTCCCAGTCTATCATTTTGTAGATGCACTTCACCTTAAAAATACATTAAAACTCCATGCCCCTTCCTTTGCTATGTACTGTCCTTGTCCACTCTTCCCTCCACAATGTTTCTTTCCTCCCCACCCAGACCAAGCCTCAGCTTTCTACCAGCAATAAGCTCTTTAGTCAGCCCTAGATTTAAGCAAAATTGTAAAGACTGCAGACCTCATCCTCAGAGACCCCTTGCCCTCCAGTCTTCCTCCTCACCCCTATTTTTTAAAGGAAAAATTTCTGCTAGAGAGTTCCATATATCACTGCTGGCCTACCACACACGCACTCACACACATACCCTTCTCCTCTATATTTCTCTGTGTTCCCCATTCCACTCTCTTCCCTTGGCTCTTTCTCTATCCCCCTCCTTCTCCTTCTTCCTTAATCTTCCCCTTTCTCTCTCTCTGTGAACTCTTCCATTTCTCTTTCACCTGATGTGGGTAGAGACAGATAAGAGGCACACACAGAGAGAGATATATGAGGGGAGAGAGAGGTGAAGTACTATAAAGTCTTTCCCTGGGGATTCAATCAGTCCAGGACAATGGGTTCTGTTGAGTTCTTTTTTTCCAGCTCTAGGGAGAGGAGAGTTTCTCAGCCTTTCCTTTTTTAATGACCGTGCTCAGGAAAAAGAACAAGGTAATGTCAGAGGAGAGAGATCTGTCATGCTTGATAGGGTAATAAAGTCAGGGGGGAGGGTGGATAAGTGGAGGGGGGGTGAAAGGGGGACAGTTCTAAGCTTCTTGGTCTGGTATCTATGCAAGGGTCGCTCACTTTAGAGGCCATCCCAAGGTGGGAACTACAGAGCTGTATTTTGCCAGGTCCTGTCCAGGCCACATCCACAGGCCCAGCAGGGAAGCCTGTCAGAAATGGACAGCTAGGTGACCTGATAAGGGGAAATGCCTCAAGGTGCTAAGAAGAGGAAATACCAGACAGAGTCCTATAGCCTGATGAGGAAGCTTCCTAGGCAGAGAGAAAACCATGCTTTGGTTCAAAGAGCTCACCTGATTATCCAGGAGAGAGTGGTACTACCTATACCCTCCAGTTGTTCTGATATGTCACCTTCTCCCTTTAATATAAATGTTGCTGTTCAGTTCAACTCTTCATGATCCCATTTGGGATTTTCTTGGCAAAGATACTGGAGTGGTTTGCCATTTCCTTCTCCAGCTCATTTACAGATGAGGAAACTGAGACAAACAGGGTTAACTGACTTGTTGAGGGTCACACAGCTAATAAGTGTCTGAGGTCGGATTTGAACTCAGGTCTTTCTGACTCCAGGCCCAGCATACTAGACAATCTACAAAACAATACATCAAGCCGTGATTTGTAGACTTTGGCAACATCCAAAGTGTAAATGCCCACACTGTTTTCAGTAGCACTCAGTTCTGGCTCTAGCACACCCCTGGAGCAAATTCCCGAGTGGAGACTTCTCTAACATCTCCTGCAAGTGCTTACCTAGCCTTCCATCGATGGAAGCCCTTCAGAGATGAAGAATCCACTGGGGACAATTCTCATCATTCTGATTTTCTCTTTTGTTACATCAAGCCAAACTCTCCTCTCTATAGCTTCTCTCTACTGCTCCTGTAATTTCATGTGTAATCTCTATGTCATAGTATCTCAACAATCAACACATAATGCTGTCTTGCTTTTCAAAGAGCTGTCTAAATCATCTCCTCCTTGTTCACTTTATGAAAGGGAAAGTCATCCTTGCTCTAGTTGATAATGAAGACATTGAGGAGGAAGAGTGGTCCTCCTGGCCACAGCTCACATTTCTATAGCAATTCCTAGTTTGCAAAGCTCTTTTCTTCCCAACAACTCTGAGAAGGAGGTAGTGAGACTATTACTGTCTCCATTTTACAAAGAAGGAAACTGAGAATTAGAGAACTGATGCAACATGACATAGGTCATGAAGTGGTAGAGGTGAAACTAGAACCCACCACTTCTGACTGAGCACCCATAAGGATCAAAACTGTCAATAGAAAATAGAAATAAAAAAAATTAAAATTAAAAAATAAATTTTGAAAAACTGTCCATAGAGCCTGGTGTAGTCACTACCAAATGGCACATAAATGAGCATTGCAGTACAGTGGGTTTGCCAACTACAGGCATCCTGTAAACATGGACTGATTGACCCATTTGCCCACTGCCTCCATCCAGTGCCTGGGTTGGGGGGGCCCTCTAATAAAATCCCACATTCCTATCATGAGTTAAGATATACAAAGTGCTTTTTCTCATGGCAACACTGCAGGACAGACGATACAAGCATTATTATGCCCATTTTACAGATGAGAAAACTGAGGCTCAGATTAAGCATTTTTTTAACCAAGGTAACAAAATTTAGTTGAGTGTTAGTGTTGGGGCTGGAACTCAGGTTTACTCATTCCAAGCCTAACGCTCTTTCCACCACATGAAAATGGATGAAGTTGCCACTCATTACGTGGGTGACTTTGGGCAAGTCGCTTGACCTCCCAGAGCCTCAGTTTCTTCATCTGTAAAAGGAGATATAAAGGAGAGGGGTGGGCTCAGTGGTTTCTAAGCTCCCTTTACAGCTCTGGATCTTATGATCCCATAATCCTATGAACCTCATTGGGGGAGCAAGAGCCCTACTCGTGGGCTTCCATGGACCAAGGAAGATCAAAATATCTTGCAGAAGGAGATCCAAATCTTAATCTGACCTTCTGGGGGCAGCTGGCAATGACCCCTTCTTTGTTCTGTATGTGCAGCAGCATCTATCCAAATTCAAAAGCAAAAAGTTAAACTCGATGCTATGAGACCTAGGGCACCTGAAACCCCATAGAAATACCTGAAATGATCTAGAAAGTCAAAACAAACCTGAAAATAATCTCACCTCTTAGTCTGTTACTCTATTGTTCTTTTTCTTTGCTGCTAGGATACATTGTTTTGGCAGTTTAATTTCACACAAAAGGAAATTAATATAATATTTTATACCATTCAAAAAGCACAAATCCATAATCAGTTTCAGAAACTCATTTTCTGCAGGCTGATTTATATGTTATTAACTGGAGTATAATTCAGAGCCACTGTTCTCCAAATCACTCAAGCGTCTCCAAGTTCTCTCGCTCCCATAACTATAGTTGTCCTTCCCCAAACCAGCAAAGCAGGATGCTGTCTGGGGCTGGGAGGTAATACCTGGGGTCCTCACTCTCTGCTTTGCCCTGTGTCTTACTGCCCAGGATACAGAGACCTTATGATTCCTGTCTAGAGACACTAAAATTCCCGTGGCCAGTTTCATTTTCAATCAACCAACTAATCCATCAGTCTCCAAACGAGCATTTATTTACAGAACAACTTTCTTCTAAACAGGTGCTTTTCTCAAATGCTAATGGAAAAGAGAGAATATGCTCATTCACCATAATTCTTTCGGTTTCTTTGAGTATTTTTCAAAATGCAAAATGAAATCAGAGCTCTCTTCTCAGCATTTCTCTCCCAGTCCTGGGCCATCTCCAGTCATCCTGATCTATATCTTGCCATTGGACCCAGATGGCTCTGGAGGAGAAAGTGAGGTTGGTGACTTTGCACAGTCCTCCCTCCCTTAAATCCACTGAAATTTATCTCATCATGTTCCTGATGTTATGGTCCTCTTGGAGACCAAAGGACAAACCACACCACAACCACAACCCAGTCCCACCCATCCCCAATCCAGGATGGTGGAGGATGTGAATCATTTAATGACTTCATTGTTCCTTGCCCTGAGCTGTATTTTGGTGGTCCTCCCTCTCCTAGGAACACCAAGATTGATTCATGCATTCAGGCCTGATTGGTCCAGTGTTCACGGGCTTCCTCCTGTCTGCCGTCTCCTTTAGACTTTGTCACAGCTTCACAGATCTTAGAGCTGGAAAGAATTTCAGAAGCCATCTTCTCCAACTCCTGTTTTTCAGATTAAGAAACAGAGATACAGTGAGTAAGTCATTTGCCCATGACTACATAGGTAATAACCATCAGAGGGTGGATTTGAACCCAGGTCCTCTGACTCCAGAACTTATAGTCTTTCCACTGTACCATGCCAGCTCACTCCTTCCAGACAAACTAATTTTATGAAGATTTTTAAGAATCTTTTTTTGTTATTGTTTAGTCATTTTTCAGTTGTATATGACCTGACCTTTGTGACCCTATTTGGGGTTTTCTTGGCAGAGGTGCAGGAGTGGTTTGCCATTTCCTCTTCAGCTCATTTTACAGATGAAGAAACTGAGGTGAAGAGAGTTAAGTGACTTGCCCAGGGTCACACAGCTAGTACGTGTCTGAGGCTAGATTTGAACTCGGAAAGATGAGTCTTCCTGATTCCAGGCCCAGCGCTCTATCCATTGCACCACCTAGCTTGCTTAAGAATCCTTAGGAGAAGAAAAAGGATTGAGAGACTGAGAGGAAAATGGGGAGAGCACAGGGGGCAATGGAAGACCTTGATCACAAATCAGTTTACATAAATGAGACTACAGGGGCAGCTGGTGGCGCAGTAGATAGAGCACCAGCCCTGGAGTCAGGAGGACCTGAGTTCAAATGTGGCCTCAGAAACATAACTTACTAGCTGTGTGACCTTGGGCAAGTCACTTAACCCCATTGCCTAGCCAAAAGAAAAAAAAGAGAGAGAGAAATGAGACTACATTATTGGCAACTCCATGTTTCCAAAGCCAAAATCATGAATTTAAATGTCCTAATCCTTCCCAGATTTAGGACATGGTTTTTCCTTACAGATAGGTTTTTATTGCTACATTTTTGGGTTTTTTATATTATGATAATTTTACCTAGTATCCCTCCCCCTCACCTCCCAGAGAGTCATTCTGTATAACAAATAACATATTTTAAAGAAAAAAAAAAGGAAAATCATCGTAACTGATTGAAACATTGCAAGAGTATGAAAATATACGTAGCATAGTAGACCTCCCACATCTGCAAAGAAGTGGGGTGAGGAGGGCCTCTTCTCATGTCTTCTTTCCAGCCATGTTTGTTCTTTATCATTTTGCCACATTCACTTTGGATTTTTTTTTTTTTGCTGACTGTTCTTACCATTTAAATTACTGTAGTTACTGTGTATATTATTTTTTTGGCTCTGCTTACTTCACTCTGCATCACTCCTATTTGCTTAGATTTTTCCACATTTCTCTATATTTATCACATTCATGTCATATCGATTCACTTCATATCAATTTTGTAAGTAGTAATATCTCATGAGACCCTTCAGCCCTACATTTTTAGCTGAAGCAGAGGGTAGGGGAAGGAGTGCCAGGCATGGGCTCAGTGTGCCTGAGTTTGTATCCTAGCTCCACTAATTATTAGCTGGGCAGGTCATTTTACTTGGAGAGCTGCATGGAACAAGCAAAGAATGCTAGATCTGGGGAGTCTGAGTGATCCAGGATCTAATCCTGCTTTTACAATTTCCTACTTACATGAACTTAGGCAAATTGAACCCAGGTTTTTCTGGCTCTGAGGCAACCTCACCATTCCCTGTGCCATACTGCCTCCCCAAGAATGAACAATAATAATACTTGACATTGATATGGCCCTTTAAAAATGGCAAAGTACTTTAATTTCATGACTCTATTTCACTGTCCCAGCAATCCTGTGAGTTCGCTACCTACAGAGACTAATGCTCTTCATCCCAACGTGAGATTATTGGTACTTGGTGTAAGGCAAAGAGCAATGGACCAGGAGTCAGGAAAGCTGGGTTCTAGCCTTGGCTGTGTCACTCCCGATGATCAATGTGAGCTTGCTTAAGTCCCTCTGGGTCTTGACTTCACCAAATGTAAAATGTAAAATCATTTTTCAAAGGACTTAAAATTGGAAAGTGACCTTCCCCAAGAAAACTGAGTTGGGGAGCAGTGAGGTGGGTTATCAAAGGTTACCCAGATCATAAGCAGCATAAACAGGTTTGACTCCAGGTGTTTTGACTCCAAATCCAAGCTCTTTCCAATCTAAGCTTTCTTCTAGCTTGGAGTGTGTATGTGAAAAAGACAAATGGACTATGTATTTAAAATAACTCCTATTTCTATAGGCTTTAAGGTTTACAAAGCACTTTGCTGACAACCATTCTACAAAGTAGGTAGTACAAGTATTTTACAAGTGAAGAAATTCAAGTGGAGAAAGTTGTGTAGTTATGTAGTTGTGTGTGTGTATGGGGGGGTTTCCCTATAAACTGGATTGGTATTTCATTTGGTTGGCATTCCCTAGTGGAAACTTAGAAGACTCAAACTGACATAGAACCAACCTGGAACCGAACTCCAAAGCACAATCTGACCCGGGCTCTAGGAAGGCAGATTTGTAGTTGGAAGGTACTCCCTTGGTCATCTAGTGCAGTGTGCAGATAAGGAAACAGAAGCCTAGCCAAGCTCACACTGATCATCAGGAGTGACACAGCCGAGGCTAGAACCCAGCTTTCCTGACTCCTGGTCCATTGTTCTTTGCCTTACACCAAGAATCAATAATCTCACGTTGGGATGAAGAGCATTAGTCTCTGTAGGTAGCGAACTCACAGGATTGCTGGGACAATGAAATGAAGTCATGAAGTTAAAGTACTCTGCCATTTTTAAGGGGCCATATCAATACCAAGTATTATTATTGTTCATTCTTGGGGAGGCAGTGTGGCATAGGGGATGGTGAGCTAGCCTCAGAGCCAGAAAAACCTGGGTTCAAATCCCACTGCTAAAACATACTGATCTATTAATCCTAGACAAGTCACTTGCCCTCTGCCTCCAAGATTATAAGTTGTAGAATTATTGCTGGTCTACATTGGTAGAGGGAGTGTTCTCACCTGGAGTCTTAGTCCACACTAATGATATCCCAAGTCTGATCCACAAAACCAGTCTCCAAGGCAGGGGAGTGATAGTAAATGTTTAACAATGGACCTCCTCAAAGGTATGACACACTTTTAAATTTAATCTTCATTACTAATGTTTTCTCTATAACTTAAGTCTAGCCAGAGGCATCAAACTCAAATAAAAACAGTCTTGGGGAGCTCATATTAACTTAGAAAACCACATATTAACATGATCTATTTTGCATGGTATTTTTATTTATTTTGTTGAACATTTCCCAATGACATTTTAATCATCCTCCCAGCCCCTGAGGCTCACAGCCTAGGAGTCAGCCTGGATACTTCTCCATCTCTCATCCCCAATCTATTGCCAAGGCCTGTCGATTTCACCTTCACAACATCTTTGAATAAACTCCTTCTCTCACCTGACACTACCACCACCCTTGTGTAGGCCCTCACCACCTCCCATTGAGATTACTGCGGGTAGTTGGGAGGAGTCAACATACAGACAAATATATGCAAAGCAAGCTATATGCAGGATAAATAGGAAGTAATTAACAGAAAGAAGGCACTGAAATTATAGCAGCTAAGTGGTGCCATAGTGCATGAGCCTGGAGTCAGGAAGACTCATCCTCCTGGCCTCAGACACATACTAGCTATATGATCCCAAACAAGTCTCTCAGCCCTCTTTGCCTCAGTTTCTTCATCTGTAAAAATGACCTAGAGAAGGAAATGGCAAGCTGCTCCAGTATCTTTGCAAGAAAACCTTGAATGGGGTCAAGAAGAGTTGGATGTACTGAACAACAAACTTTTGTTTGCAAATTACTTTGGGGGCACTCGATCAGACTTCCAGGAGCCAAGATGGTCACTCTCATCTTCCCTTATTGACTTCTGAAAGCCCAGAAAATATCACCCCAGGAAAAACCCTGGAAAAGCTGAGCTAGCAGAAAGATGGGGGGGGGGCAGCAGTATTGTGGCCCAGGAACTTTGGAGGATTAATAGGAAAGGCCCCTCTTGGTCTGGGGAAAAGGGGGAGCAGTACAGGACAGGAGGCATCCCAGCAAGCCAGTGGCAAGCCCCACCTCAGCAAACCAAGGGGAGATCCTGAGCCCCAGGGTGGTAGAGCAGGCAAGCACCAACACCAGGACCCACTTCCCCCTACTTCCCCTCAGTACCTCAGCACAGGCACTGGTAAACACCGGCTTGGAAATCCACCACATGCACAGGGGTCTCCAGCAATCAAATCTCCCAGTGCTCCAGCACAACTCCAGGCTGGCAGACATCCTCCAGCAGCCAAACATTCACTGTTTTAAAGAAGCCCAAGTGAGCAGGCATCCCCCAGGGGCCAGACTCCCCACCCCCACCCTGAGAGCTCTAGTGCTGCTGACCCCAGCTCTGAACCAGGTAAGCTACCAGATCCCCTAGAGTCTCCAGCTGCCAGCACCAGAGGCCCCAGCACACAAAGCCAGTGACCAGGTCCCAGGCTCCCAGCACAAGAAATTTGGGTCAGTGCCCCCTGCACTCTAGAAGGAGAGTTTAACCTCAAAAGCCAGGAAATAGGCAAACACCATGAGCAGAAAGCAGAAATGGACAATGACCATAGAGTCTTATTACGGGGACAGGGAATATCAAGGCACAAATTCAGAAGAGGACAACATTGTCAATATACTCACATCTGAAACCTCAAAGGGGAATATGAACTGGTCTCAAGCCCAAAAAAATCTTCTTGGAAGAGCTCAAGAAGGATTTTAAAAGTCAAAAAAAGAGAAGTAGAAGAAAAATTGGGAAAGAAAATGAGAGGTATGAAAGAAAGAGTCAATAACTTGAAAAAGGAAGGACAAAAATTGACTGTAGAAAACAAGTCCTTAAAAAAATACAATTGGCTGAATGGGGAGAAAAAAATACAATGAAGAAATCAACTCCTTAAAAAGTAAAATGGGCCAAATGGAAAAGGAGGTACAAAATCTAATAGGAGGAAACAATTTGTTAAAAATTAGAATTGGGCAAGTGGAAACTAATGACTCTATGAGATATCAAGAATCAATCAAACAGAAACAAAAGAATGAAAAAATAGAAGAAAATGCAAAATACCTCACTGATAAAACAACTGACCTGGAAAATAGATCTAGGGCAGACAATTTAAAAAGTATTGGTTTACCTGAAAACCATGATGAAAAAAAAAAGCCTAGACATCATCTTTCAGGAAATCAAAGAAAACTGCCTTGCTGTCTTAGAACCAGATGATAAAATAGTCATCAAAAGAATCCATCAATCACTTCCTGAAAGAAATCCCAAATTGAAAATGCCAAGGAATGTTATAGCCAAATTCCAGAATTACCAGATCAAAGACAAAATATTGCAAGCAGCCAGAAAGAAACAGTTTAAATATCATAGAACCTGTCAGGATTATGCAGGAGCTTGCACCTTCTACAGTAAAAGACTGGAGGGCATGGAATACAATGTTCCATAAGGCAAATGAGCTTGGATTACAACCAAGAATCAACTACCCAGAAAAATTGAGCATAATCTTTCAAGAGAGGAGAAGGAAATTCAACAAAATAGGAGACTTCCAAACCTTCCTGATGAAAAGACCAGAGCTCAACAGGAAAATTTGATATTCAAATACAAGAGTCAAGAGAGGCATAAAAAGGTAAGTAGGAAAGAAAAAAACATGTTATTAATAACAGCAAACTTTACGGCCCTACAAGAGAAGATGACACTTGTAACTCTTGAGAACTGTATCATTATTATGACATTTAAAAGGAGTATACATAGACAGAGGTTGTGGGTATAAGTCGTCTTTGATGAGATGATAAAAAATCTAATTAAGTAGTGAAAATGGATTGTTCTGGGAGAAGAGGAAAGGAGGAGTCAGACAAGGGTAAATTACATCCATGAAAAGGCACAAAAACCTATTACAGTAGAGGGAAAGAAGGGAGGAGATGAGCATTGTTTGAACCTTACTCTCATCAGATTTGGCTCAAAGAGGGAATAACATAATCACTTAGGTATAGAAATCTAACTTACCCTATAGGAAGTAGGAAGGGAAAGGGAAAAGAAAAGGGATAGAACGAAGGGAAAAAGTAGTAAGGGTAAAGGGGAAGAAAAGGGAGGGGGCTGATAGAAGGAAGGGCAGACTGAAGGAAGCAATGGTCAAAAGCAAAACTCTAGTGAAGAGAAAGAGGGAGAAAGGAAAGAGAAAAGCATAAAAGGGGGCGGAGGATAGGATGGAGAGAAAGACACAGATAGTGATCATAACTGTGAATGTGAATGAGAAAGAACCATAATCCTACAATATGTTGCTTAAAAACCTGGAAAGACTTATATGAACTGATGCTGAGTGAAATGAGCAGAACCAGGAGAACACTGTACGCAGTAATAGCCACATTGTGTGATGACTGACTTCGGTAGATGTAGGTCTTCTCAGCAGTGAAAGGATCTTTCCAAAAGAAAGATTCCAAAAGAAAGGACAACTCCAAAAGACTCACGATGGAAAATGCTATTCACATCCAGAGAAACAACTTTGGAATCTGAATGCAGATCAAGCATACTATTTGCTCTCCTTTTCTTTTGTTGTTTTGTTTTGTTTCTTCTTTCTCATGGTTCTTCCCATTAGTTCTAATTCTTCTTTACATCACGAATGTGAAAATATGTTTAATATGAATGTATAAGTAGATCCTATTTCAGATCGCATGCTGTCTTGGGAGGGGGGAGGAGAGGGAGGGAGGGAAAATTTTAAACTCAAAATCTTATGGAAGTGAATGATGAAAACTAAAAACAAATTAATTTTTTTTAAAAGTAATTTTGATTTTTCAGGACTTTTCCACAGAAATCTGGACAAATGTTTTAGGAGCCCAGAATTTCAGAATCAAATATGCAGGAATGCCTGGGGCAGGGATTGAGGAGGTGTGAACAAGAGGCTGACAGTGTGGCCGGGAAGTCAATTAGCATTTCAGAAAGGTGTCAGAGTCACTGAGGAGGGGCTGGTGGGGTTGTTTTCATAATGTTCATCTGAAGGTTCCCCGGGCATGGAAGCCAATTTTGGTGGCAATTAGGAATTGGGGTCGGGGCAATCTGAGTTTTAGAGTTTCTGCAATCCAACAGAGCACTGAGTGATGCTCAGGGACTGGGGGGTGGAAATAAGGAAGTTTGCCTAGTAGCCTAGGGGTTTTTAGAGGATTTCTGCCCCCAGGTCCCAAAATGAATCTACAGATTAAAGAGCTGCCTCAAGAACTCTTTTTTTAAACAGCTGCTTTTTTTGTTTTGTTTTGTTTTTGTTCCAAATCGGTCTCAGCAACCCTACAAATGCAAAGATGCGCCACAATGCCCTCAGAAACAAAACTGAAGGAGTGCATCAATTTATCAACTTAATAGTGGCTTAAAGAAATCTATTTTTCCTCCTAAAACACCCACATGGTAAACTTAGAGACCAAAGTTCAGGATGTAACTGTTATTTTCTAAGCAAGCAGCAGTTTGGGCCTCCAAAAGCAGAGGGAGGAGAAGCCAGGTCACAGGCCTCAAAGAATGAACATTCCTGAGAAAGGATTCTGAGACTGTCTGCTCTCAGCAGGAGGTTTTCTTCTCCTAATTCTAGGAGTGAGTGAATGGGAGAATGGAGAGTCCAGAAAAAAAGTAGTTATGGTGATGCTGGTGGTGGTGGTGGTGGTGGTAGTAGTGGCGGCCATCGTGGTACAAGCAGGAATTTTGGCATTAAAAGAGTCACATGGAACAAGTATCACATCTGGGGTCAGAAAGCTTAAATTCAATCCCTTCTTGACATCTTAAAACTAGTGTGATTTTGGGTACATTTCTGTCAACCTCAGTTTCCTCATCTGTAAAATGGGCAGGCATAACAGTAACACCTACTCTGTACAGCCCCACAGGTTTCTTATGAGGCTCAAATGAAACAATACAGGTGAATCACTTTGCAAACCTCAAAGCAATTCTCTAAATGGCAGTTTATGATCTTATGTTGAGAAGGGTTTGGGATTAATTGATCACTATGGCTCCCTCCAGCTCTAAATGTTACAGGGATGACACCAGCACTGACCTGTTGAACATTTTCAAAAGCTTCAAGAATTTCAAGACTTTTCCGCAATACTAATGAGTCAATCAGGTCTTGATTTCCTACCTGTTGATTGTTTACTTGGCATCAAGACATGCTAGGAAGCAGCTGGAATGCTGGGAGAGGGTAATGACTCGTTATCTGAACAATGAGGGGGGGATACTTGTTTTTGAGACTGTGCTTCCTATCTCACCCAGGCTGGAGGTCTGTTGGCCAATCCCACTGCTGATCAGTGTGGGAGCTTGGACCTGCTCTGTTTCTGACCTGTGCCAGTCCAGCTCCCCTTAGACAGCCTGATGGGAGAAGGGGGTCACCATACTTGTACCAGACAGAGCAGACTTGCAATCACTTATCCCTACTACATACAGCTCAGAACTCCTGAGCTCAATTAATCTGCCTTGACTGAGCCTCTTCAGTAGCAGGGATTAGAAGTGTGTACCATCTTGCCAGGCAAGGTACAGTATATTCTTAAGGAATACAAGTACACTTGAATAGTAATGCAGTCATATATATTACCAACAAAACCCAGCAGGAAGAGAGAGAAAGAAGAATTCCATTTAAAATAACTGCAGACAGCATAAAATATTTGGAAGTCTACTTGACAAGACACTTACAGAAACTCACATGAACACAATTACAAAACACTCTTCATACAAATAAGGACAGATCTAAATAATTGGAGAAATATTGTTTGTGGGTGCTTTTTTCTTTTTTTTTTGTTTTTGTTTTTTTGGCTAGGCAGTGGGGTTAGGTGACTTGCCCAGGGTCACACAGCTAGTGAGTGTTATGTGTCTGAGGTCAGATTTGAACTCAGGTCCTCCTGAATCCAGGGCTGGTGCTCTATCCACTTCACCACCTAGCTGCCCCATATGGGTGCTTTTTTCCAGTCATGTCCAACTCTTCATGACCCCATTTCTTAGCAAAGATACTGGAGAGTTTTGCCATTTCCTTCTCCAGCTCATTTTGCAGATGAGGAAACTGAGGCAGAGGGTTACGTGACTAGCACACAGCTAGTGTCTGAGGCCAGATTTGAACTCAGGAAGAGGAGTCTTCTCGACTCTAGACTTGGTACTCTATCCTGCACCACCTAGCTACCCCTGTTCAGAGGTAGGCCTAGCCAATATAATGAAAATGATAATATTACCTAAATTAATTTATTCAATGCTATGCCAATCAAACTACCAACTACTTTTACTTTATTTCTCTTGCTTTTTTCCCCCCTGGAACATGGCTAATTGTTTTGCATGGCTACACATGTATAACGGATATTGTATTTCTTACCTGCTCAGTAGGTGAGGGAGGGGTGGAGGAAGGAAGAGAATTTGGAACTGAAAATAGAAATATTTTTTAAAATAATAGAAATAAATAGTAATGCAGGAAGCATTGCCTTGATGGATAACAAAGAAAAGTACAATTAGGCAGCTAATTCTTCCAGGAAGAAAGCATATGCATTTCAAAACCCAAAAGAAGTGACTTGAGAATTCAAACTCTTGGATCATCCACATACTGCTCAGTTTCTATTTATGCAGGCAATGGAGAGATGCGTTTAAAGGAGGTGGAGGATGGGAGAGCTGTTTTCCTGTTTTTGTGCTGTTCTTTTCTAGATTCAGAAAAGAATGTAAATCAATTCAATCACCATAAAATCCATCCCCTTTTCATTACTGAGAATATTCTCTGCGCGGGGAATGTAGAGGACAGGAATTATTTTCCTGTACTTAACAGATGAAAAATTGAGGTGCGGAGAGCTAAAATGACATACCCACTGGCTTATTAATCATATAAGCTAAAAGCAAACAAAAAATTATACTTTGAAATCTGTCTGGACGCTGGAAAATCCTAGGTGAGAATGGAAAGCAATTTAAAAGAAAACTAAAAGCTACCATTACGTCTGAAACAGCAAACGGGGGGACGCTTTCTCTTCTTTCCCATTGACATCCCGGAATTCGGTTTCCCTTCACAGTCAAGCTTTCTGAGAGCCGCTAAATGAGACCGGAATGCAGAGGGAAGTTCTAAAGACTCGAGGCTGAGGTCAGGTGTCTCCATAGCTTCTTAATCAGCCTGAGTTCAGTCAATTTGATTGTGGGGGAGGGGCGGGAGGAGAGAGGAGAAGTTGCTCCTTAGCAAACTGCACCACTGATTGGAGTGTCCGTCCATGCTGTGATCTGAATCCACCACAGTCCCAAGCGGCCAAATATGTCATCAAACAGACTTAGATCCATTGCTTTGGCCGTGGACACCAACTGGGCGGGGGCTGATTGGGTTCAGAGGAGAGCCAGGCCTGGAAAGTGACTAGTTCAGAACGAAAAGTCAGCTTAGCAGGGCCAGGCACTGTGACACCGACATTGCAGAAGGTTAAGGGGAAGACAAACCCAGACTAAAGGCCAAACATAAAGGAAAGCAGACAAATCAATAGCACGAAATGGCCCAAGGAAACCAGAAAATCAGAATTGCTTGGCGTTTGCTACAGTTCACTAAATCGGAAAGTTATCCATTTTGTACTGAGGGCCAGCACCGCTCAGGGCAACAGCAGCAGGGAGTGGAAAAAGTCATCTCAACAGCTGGCTGCCCAGGGACAGAGGGAGGGAGAAATTCGTCGCTGAACAGAAAGTCCCTTCTTCCTCGCCTAGTGTTTAACCCTTAAACCTTCCTTCCGAACGTCTACGGCGGGGCAGTGTTTCTCATTAGCAATGGTCTTTCCATCTTCAGGGTCAGCAGCCTCTAGCAAGGGGCGGGGGTAGAGGGTCCCAGGTGACACAGGAGTGATTTTGAGTGCCTGTTCGTCCTATTAACCTCTACCTCCAGGGTGAGTGCCCTTTTGATTTCTCTGGCCCCTAGCGTAATTTTGTTCTGGACCCGGCACCTGGAACCCCTGTTGGCTGCTTACAGCAACGGCTAATACACTAATTAGCATTTTAAAGGAAAAGTGGTAAGTGATGCTAACATGCACAACAGGGGGTAGGCGAAGTACTTTCTTTCCCTGATTAAAACCATTCTCTCTCTTCCTCTCCCTTCCCCCCTCTCACTTAAAATATATTTATAATTATGTTTTGTTAGCCCTAAAGGTAAGCAAACTGTTGTGTAATTTATAGTCTTAGAGAATTGATTGGGGACATTGAGAGGTTAAGCGAGTTGCATGGTGTCACACAACCAGTCTGTTAGAAACAGAATTTATAAGATCATAGAATTAGAACTGAAAAGTACTTTATAGGCCATCGAATTCAACTGCCTCATTTTACAGATGAGGAAACTGAGGCACCAAGAGGTGCTTTGCCCGGAGTCACAGAGTTAAGTGTCCAAAGTCAAGATTTGAACTTGGGTCTTCACAATTCCAAACCCAGTGGCCTATCCATTATACCACACTGCCAAGTCTTCCTGACCCAGAAGTCCATTTCTTCTCCACTATACCACACCATCTCTATAATTACAATTATTTAGTATATTTATTAGTTTAAGTTATAATTTCTGTTATTGAAAAGCAGACAACTTCAATCTTTCATACGTCTCTTTCCAAAAAAAGGCAGTTAGTAGATTTTTTAAAAATTATTTGGTCCTCAATTCATTATCTTATTTAAGTTGGTGTATGTCTAATAGGACAAGTCCTTGATCATGGAGTAGTGAGAATGTTCTAAAGGGGGAAAAAATATTGTTATCTTTTCCCAAGATGTCACACTGGAAAAAAAAAGTACACCTTTGCATTTAAAAAAGGCCCTTGGCATTTCTGTGAATCAATTATAGATATTCCTGCGAGCAGGATTATGAAAGCCCTCATAATAAATATGAGCAGTACAGGTCAGACTGAAAGATTAGGGTTAGGGGAAGCTGCTGATGTAAGAGTAGGAGTCTGACCTGCCTTTTCCTCACCAGTTGGTGATTGTCATACATAGGGAGGGGCCCCTCTGCCTTCTCCCCCATTCCCCATAAAACATAAGGCATGGGACTGTATGCACAGGCTTTGGGCTAGACCTTGAAAACTGGATTTACTCAAATATCAGCCACTGCAGTGGCACACCAGCTGCTAATTCAAATCACTAAATAAGCAAAATGTTTCCCTGGTCCTTTTCCCCATCTCCCTCCTCAACTAACCCTGATCACAAATTCTCAGCACCTCCAAGTCCCCAACTCAGTTCTCGTCTACCTTACCTTGAAGTGACCTATGATTAAAATTACCATCTCTCCCCAACATTTCAGAGTCACATTTTCAGGAAAAGGAGTTCTATGTTAAAAAAAAAAAAAGAATACAGAATGATGGAATTACAGAAACACAGAATTGGAAAGAGATGCAAAGTTCATTTAGCTCATCATAAAAATCTTTGCCAAACTTCCTTCTAGGAGCCATCTCCAGTCTTCCTGATCTATATCTTGCCACTGGACCCAGAGAAAGTGAGGCTGGTAACCTTGCACAGCCCTCCCTCACTTAAATCCAATTCACTTGCAAGTCATAGCATCATCTTCCCGATGTCATGGTCCTCTTAGAGAATGAAGGACAAACAACAATTTTCTTTGTTTATTATCCTCTTTCCATTTCCATCCTTAAACGCCCTTAAGATGACTTTGCTTAGCTCTGTCTCTCATGGAGATTTTTAAGTGGGTTTTTACCCTCTGTTTCTTTATTCTTGTGGCAGGGCTTGTAAACTCCCATAATCCTTCTCTGTAAGATTTTACAAATGAGTTGATATTCCAAACCAGTATTGCTCTTGGCTGATATATATCTTTGCTTGGCAAATAAATCAAGTGTTTGCTGACTAAGGGTCTTTTAAGGCTCTTTTGGTCTTCTTGTTTATAACAAATGGTTTATATCAGCTAAGCTTCTGCGTGAAATTACCACATTCTGTTCTTTCTTCCATCCAAATTACACATTTCATCATCAATAACTTCGAATAGGTCAGGACAGATTTGTTTCAGTTGCATGTCTTATCTTTTTCTCATGATTTACCCCTCTAGCTTTGTATTTATTTTAATCTTTGTTCTAACAAGTTGGTGGTCAAACTACACATGGACAGCTGATTCAGGAATGACTTCCACACCTGTAATTAGTCATTTCTTGTCTGTTCATTGAACGAGAAACTCTCTTTCTTGACTCTGGGCATTTTCACCTGCTGTTTCCCATTTCTGGAAAGCTCTCCCTCCTCATGTCCACCTGCTGGCTTCCCTGGCTTCCTTCAAGTCCAGGTTAAAATCCTACCTTCTACCAGAAGCCTTTCCTGATGCCTCTAACACTGATGCTTTACCTCTATCATTCCAGATATTCCAGAATTTAACCTGTATAGATCTTATTTGTGCATAGTTGTTTGCATGTTGCTCCCCACCTTAGACTGTGAGCTCCTTGAAAGAAAAGACTTTTTGCCTTTTCATTGCAAGTGCTTAGCACAGTGTCAAGCACGTAGTAGGTGCTTAATACATGTTTATTGACCATTAAAATATAAAGAATTCTTCACTTATTGACGAGTCTCTCCCCTCTTTGATAGGTTAGGCCCCAGAAAGCAGACTCAGTCTGTTGCCAAGACTGTACTTGAAGCTTTTCCAAAGTGGTCAGATTTGACAGAGGTTGTTCTCTGTTGGCATAAGGAAAGAATAAGCATTTACTAAGTGCCTACTATGTTCCAGGCATTGTACTAAACATTTTATAAATTTTACATCATTTGATCTTCACAACAACTCTTCAAGATAGGTGCTATTATTATCCCAATGTTATACCTGAAAATTGAGTCAGACAAAGAGAAATGTCAAGGTTTAGAGACTTGCCCAGAGTTACACAGTAAGTGAGTGTATGAAGCCAGATATGAACTCAGATCTTCCTAATTGCCTAACAAGCTGCATTGGTAGAAGTGTTTCTCATCTGATAATTCCTTATGCCAATGAAATCTCAAGTTCAATCCCTATCCCTATTAGGGAGATGTGGGCATAAAAGGGCAGGGTACTTTTGTTTGTTTTTGTTTTTGTTAGACAATGGGGTTAAGTGACCTGCCCAGGGTCACACGGCTAATAAATGTTATGTGTCTGAGGCCAAATTTGAACTCAGGTCCTGTAGAATACTTTTGTTTGAAAGGCAGCTAGGTGGCACAGTGGATAGAGTGCTGGCCCTGGAGTTAGGAGAACTGAGTTCAAATCTGACCTCTGACACTTACTAGTTTTGTGACCCTGGGCAAGTCACTTAATCCTGTTTGCTTCAGTTTCTTCATCTGCAAAATGAGCTGGAGAAGGAAGTAGCAAACTACTCCAAGAAAACCCCAAATGGGGTCACAAAGAGTCATACACAAAGATAGCAGAAAAAAGGCAGCGACTCATCTGAGCTCTCCCCCAAAACCCTCCAAACACCTTTACATAATGCCATAAACAATTCCTGGAGCAGCACAACCCACAAAGGGATGGGGTGAAATAATTTTCCAGCCAAAGACAACTTAGAAGGTCATCAGGAAAGGTATGTCATATTGGGATGAGAATGGAGCACAATCCAGCACAGGGCACACCTGCACGGACCCAGACCCAGCAAACCAGAAGCTGGCCTCAGCAGCCATTGAATCAGCAGCAACAGATGCTGCTTCCAGAGCTCTCAGCCCACACATGATAAGGGGCTCAAACAACTGGTCAGAAAGGTCTCTTCACTGGCACTGGGGGCAGGACTCTGTTGCTTTGCCCATGCTTGGATCCAGGTCACAGTCCTGGGTGGCAGTGACAGGGCAAGGAGGAGCACTAGCACACCACAGCTTGCAACTGCAGGAGCAGAGACCCTCATCACAGACAGAAAAGAGTGCTTGTGGTCACTCACAGACCAGAGCACATGTCAGGAGAGTAGTAAACACACCTCTCCTTAGATCATACCACCTTGGAAGAACTGAAAACTTACAGGTCCCTAGAAGTATCTCTGAAAACAGCTGCACAAAACCCCTGAAACTTGGGCCAGTACACCTCTCCAACCTGGAAGCAGAGCTCTACATTAAGCAAGAGTTAAAAGTCAAGAAATAGGCTGGGAAAATGAGCAAACAACAGAAAAAATTCTGACCATAGAAAGTTACTGTGGTGACAAGGAAGCTCAAAATACACACTCATAAGAAGATAACAAAGTCAAAGCTCCTACACCCAAAGCCTTCAGGAAAAATATGAATTGTCTCAGGTCATGAAAGAGCTCAAAAAGGATTTTGAAAATCAAGTAAGAGAGGTGGAGGAAAAAATGGGAAGAGAAATGGGAGTGATGCAAGAAATCAAGAAAACCAAGTCAACAGCTTGGTAAAGGAGCCATAAAAACACTGAAGAAAATAACACCTTAAAAAAACAGATGAGGCCAAACGGTAAAAAAAAGGTACAAAAAGCCAA